ATATATATATATATATATCCTTCAGTTCCAACTTACGCCAGGTGCTTGGACCCGATGCAGGTACAGTTTTTTTCTTCTTTGACTTAATGCAATTTCACAGAGCTACACACCAGAAAAGTCAATCCTCAGAGAAAAAGATGAATTTCCTGCTAGGATTAATGAGCTAGAGCCCCGTTCAAGTAGAGTTTTCCTTCACAAAGTTGGAAACTTGCCAGTTCCTACTTTTTTAGCATACTCGTGTTTGTGGAGGGACGATATCAAAGCAAAGCGATTCTGCTTGTCTTACAAATATGCAAACACCGTCTTTCATGTTAGAAGTCACAGCAGCTAAACTGGCTACATTTTGTGCAGTAAGGCAAAAATGAACATCCAATATTTTCTCTGCTAACTGACTACCGTTAGAAGCTCCATATACACTAGCCACAGTGTGAGGGGGTTTCGATTGCCTGCCTTGGCCATACTGAGAGAGCTGAAAGACATTTCACTACATATTGATTATTGCTCCTAATGATAAACAAATGGAGATAAGCCTGTAAAGCACTGAAGTATTCCTTTACTTAAAATAGAAGCTCAAACAAAAGGTGCTGGTACCCGTTTGCGAGACAAAGTCCATTCTTCAGGTGGCAGCTTTCCCCCGCGTAGCCGTGGGGACAGATGCAGAGGTATCCCCCCTCTCCTGTCTCTATGCAGGTGGCATTACCAGCACAAGGCCTGGATGAGCACAGGCGAGTATCTGTTAAAAACAACAACAAAACATGCTGTTTTTAGATCTTGTGCACTCTCGCACTCTCACTCTCTCTCTCTCTCTTCCGCTTTCTCTGTCTTTCTGCCCCTCTAACCCCCTCTTCCCCAACACACTCCTTTTGTTTTCACTCTCTCGCTCGCATTCACACCACAGCATCTTGTCACCGAGAACAAAACTGAGAACATAACCAACCACGTCACACAGGCAAGCAGCTCATATGTTCCAACAGAACAAGAGATGTACTGTGTGCGCTGATAAGGAGGTCAAACTGAGTTAGAAGCCACAAAAATCTCTCTTCTTTTAATCTTCTCTCTTTGTTTCTTCTTTTGCTTGAGCGGCAGCAATAATATTCACTATAGATACTATAGGAATTATTACTTAAGTGCTTAATTTAAATGGGGTGGTTGAATTGCAAATGTCACTTTTTAGACCACATTAACATTTAAATTTTCCCAGCCACAGTGCATCACTTTTGAGGTTTTGTACCTTGCTCAAGAGCACAAAAGCAGCACTTTGTAATGCGTAACTCTGCAGCTTTCATCATTGACCCAGTTTTTTTTACATAATAATTTCTTTGTGTTAGTCAGATCTTTTCAGCCCATCTAAAAATATCTAAGAATACAGCCAACTCCTGTATATCCTCCAGACGCCGGCTTCATTCGGTAATGTGTCCCTGAGGCTCTGTGACTCACCCTAACCTCTGGTATGTCAGGAGGTGTTGGGTGGCAGATAGAGATACAGAGTGTCTTGGGGGAGCTTAATGAGACTCACCTTGGTCACACAGGCTGCCCACCCAGCCCTCCTCGCAGATACACTGCCATGCCTTCTCACATGTGCCGTGCAGACAGCCAGGGAAGGGCACGCATTGGTCACAGTTCTTTCCTTGCCATCCTGGTTTGCACCTGAAAGGGAGGGGGGGCAGTCCTGAACTATTAATATATCACCCACAGAGCTCTGCATCCCATGCTCTTGTCCCTATAATGGCCACATGCTTTTTTCCCCCTCTGACAGTTGTGTTTGATTATGCAGTAATTGGTTAAATTCCCTAAATACTCACAGTGATGGAATACAGTCATTTTGGCTCAAGAGTAGCTACAGTAGCATTTGCCAGGAAAATATTATTCTAACTGGGTGTGCTCTGTAACCAAAAGCTTTTGAGCTATGTGTTAGGATAACAATGCTTTTTACTGTTCAAACAAAGGGATGATTTGGCAGTTGATTTAACACAGTACAAGCCCAAACAAATCTAGAAAAAAACAAAAAACAGAAGGATCCAGTTGGCTGGATTGTGATTGCTATCTAGGGGAGGAACAATCACTGCCCCTGCAATTTATGGAAATAAGGTTGCAAAACCCCAATGGGCATCATCTACACATGAATCTGAGGTCGTTGTAGTACCTGCACTTCCCTGGCTTCTCACAAAACCCATTTTCTGTGTTGCACCCTGCGTTGCATTCCCAGCCTTTGAGACAGACAGAAAGGGACAGCAGCGTGTTTGCATCAAAAATAAAAAAAACATTAAACATTCAGAACAATAAAATATTCATCCGTTATACTTTTTGAATAAATTGTGAGTGAGAGTTTTTATTTTATTTGTATTTATATATATATATATGTGTGTATAAAAAAATAGACCCAATCTCTTTGCGTCCCTGTCCCCTGATGTCCCAGTGGACTGATCAAAATCTCAGATTACCTTTGGCGATGCCTGTCACGACCAGAATTAAGACCACCGCCGTGAGATGCATCGTAATGTCGAGCAAGACTCCTCTTTGTCCTGCAAAATATAAAGCGGGTTAAGTCGCAAGAAGAGCTCTCTTTGTGTGCAGCAACGATGTTTTTCCCCCTACAGCTCACATCTATCTGAATACTCAAAAGTTAATTTGACGAAAGGAAAACAAACCTTAAATGGAGAATTCAGAGGAATGCTTAACAGATATGGCACATTCTGAATGAAGCTTTATATATATATATATATATATAATATATAAAGTATTTTATCATAGGACTTTAAAAATCTAATTACTATAAGGGCATTATCGTGAAAATCACTCCCACTGGAAATCTAAATATCTGTCTCATTATTTTCTTCTTGAACTGACGCACCTGAACCATGCGTCTGCTCCCAGATGTATCCATTACGCACGAGCAGAAAAAGAGAAAAGCCATATTTCATTTCAAAATCATCGCATTTCTCATGTCAATAAACCTCGTTAACTTAAATTATCTTCTGGCATCCGGTAAATTGTCTTACCTATGTCGCACCGGCGCTCTGATTCCAAGTGCCTTCGGTCATATTTGATTGATTTGATTTCACTTTTTTTTTTTTAATCCAAGCGTCGAGGTACTGGAAGTGATACCACAGGTGTACTAATGGTCCGACTGCTGGAAGAGGACCTGGACGTTTAGATGGGACTGCTGCATCGTGCGGCGTCCCAGTGCAACACGCTCCTCCCACCTAAAGAGGGAGAATGTGCTCACCAGTCTGACCCCCGGGAGAGACGCGCTATAGTTGTAGACTTATAGAGTGCATTAGGTGCCTGTATTTTTATAAACGCATTAATTAATGTCTTTTGGAAAAGTCTCCCTCCAGACCATTACCGCTTCCATTTCTGCTTCCTTTTAATGTTTTTTGTCCCTGATTCTTAAAACCACAACCCAGTCTACCTTAATTTGAGTTTCTGCTGTGAGTGGAGGAATAAGCCTTTCGAAATTAAAAGTAGCAGCACTACAATACAACTACAAAAAATATAATGAAGTTACTAGCTAAATGTAGCCTATAAAAGAATTAAAAGTAGTCATACTGCATCAGAATCAACCCCTTTTAGTGTTACATTATTATATATTATAACATTAGATTATTAGTACTGATGCATGATGTGTAAGCAACATAGCTGATTGAGGTTGAAGATGATTTTACATAAAGATGATTGAATGTTTTGTATGGAAATCTTCCTAATTCAAAGCAACTAGTCAGTATTGAGTTCAGATAAATGCAGTGCAGTACAACATTCGAGGATTAGAAGTATAAAGTAGCAGGGAATGGTAGTACTCAAGGAAAGTACTACACAGCGCCTACCTGTCATACATAATAATGCCCTGTTCTATTCTTAGTCCACATATTGCTGTCCACAATCTCCCCTCACCCTTCCCAAGGGCAGGGAATGGTATTTTGCTTCCCAGAAAGTATATGGCGTATTGTCTAAGGGCCTAATTATGAGTTCTACTTCCCTCAGACACTATTAAATCAGCAATAAAGCTTTTGAAAATGGTGGTCAAGCAACCATCAGGCGAAATCTACTACTCTCTTTACTGTGCATGTACAAGTATAAGATTCAACCTGTGTCTTGTTCAGGTGAAAGATAACGAAGGTGATTTGTTTCCTTGTTGGGTGTATGATAAATAACAGGATAGATACAACCACATAAATCCAGACATCAGTTTAGTTTTCCAGCTTTTCTCAAAGATTGTTTTTTTACATATCTCTCATGTCGAGCAAATATTTTATAGATAAAACAGGTCTGTGCGTTTGCAGACAGCGAGAGCACAAGGGATACATATATGAATGCAAATCAGCAGCAAATCAAAATTTTTTAAATGAACACAGGCAAAGAGAGCACAGAGAATCTCCCTTTTCTTTTCACACATAATCAATCTGCATTTGCCAGAGGAAGAAACAAGCACACACACGTTATAAACAGACCAGCCATGAGCAGATGTGAGCAGAGGAGAAGCGCTTAAGTCTCCTTAGAATTGATATAATCTTTTGAGAGGTCTCCGCTCTCATATCCTGCAGTTCAATTTGGCCCGTGTGTTTATTTTCAAACCTCCAGAGACGGAGCTCATAGCCGCAGCGTAACATTACTGTGATTCCCTGCCACAGCTACCAACCAGATCCACCAACCAGATCCACATCACTCAGTCCTCTTTTAATGAAATGTCTGAGGTTTGTATGTGCTTTATTAAAGTGAAGGAGTCATCCATTGATTTTTTTTTTTGTTCCACAGCACTGATCTCATCTGGTATCTGATCTTTTATCTGCTCCGGTCTAGGGTGCTCCAGGTCTAAATTGAACATTATGGATCTGAGGATATGAGTGTGTGTGTCTTGTTGCTTTGTGTCATTTATTAAGTTAAATTTGGTTCCCACACAAAGAGAAACTGCACTGTATGCATGTGTGTGTGTGTATACTGTATATTTTGATCTGAATGTGTCCATTTCAGCTGAGATGATCAGTTCATTGATTAATGGGTTGAATTTCTTAATGGAGGAATGACATGCAATGTGCCAGTATTTATCCATTTTCATACTGACCAAAATGAGCCAGCAGTCAGGAAAAAGAAAGAATCTGGACATTGCAGGGATCTTTGATCTCATTTAATCAATTTCAATCTTCTCCAGATATGTTTTGTCAGTGTTTCCTCACATTGCCAGGAAATTACTCTCAGATGTACCTTTTGGTAACAACTCTTTTTAGTTCAGTTATGAATCCTCCCCGACAGTCATGACAGTGATCTTGAAAGGCTGAAATCAGATGTGAACAAAGGAACCAGACACTCATTTTTGAGTTCTGCATGAATATCTCTTTAAAAACTGAAGTCGTCAACATTGTTGTAGAGGAAGGCTGCTAGAATCTCCAGCTGCTAGCTTCTCAAATGTGAATATTTGCTGGTTGTTCTTAGTCTGACCCAGTGAATATTGGTCAGATAAAACAAGCAATTTAGTTTAATTTCAACTTTGGTTCTGGGAAATTGTGATGGGTACTTTTATAGACCGAACAGTCAATAAATTAAACAAGACAATAATCAGAAGAAGAATCGATAATGGGTTCGGTGTGCATTTATGTGAACTTTAAATCTCAGACCTCATTCCCATTAATTATGCATCTGCTGGGAAGGGGCATTTCATTCTGATCCTAGTAATCCAGTCTCATTGTTAATCTCCGTGAAGGTCATTCCCACACTGCAGTTTTCCGTCTCCACACAGGTGAGGAAACATTACATGCCACAGAGGCACAGTTAGATTAGCATATAACTGGTGTAGATTATTTCATTTCAAGCCCACTAGAGATTGGAAATAATTCCATCTGAATTCTCAGCACGCAGATGCAAAATGTGGAAAAGTCTATCAGCACACTCTAAAATCTGATTAAAGAAATCCCCATTCAGTCGAGATATACCAGTCTTGCTGCAGGTTTTGATACAGATCATTTCATTCAAACTCTCTGATGGCACACGTTGGTTTGCAGGAAATTAATCTTGAGTATTGAATTTGAAACACAATTAGCTGGATAATAAAGTGTGGTGTGGCTGCCCAGTTCCTCCCTGTCTTGTGGCTTTCACGCAGATCATTAGGACGCATCATTAAACAGGAGATCATGCCAGGTTGAGCTCAATAGGGTGCACTTACAGACATGAATCACATCAGTGGCACTCATTTTTATATATATATATATATATATATATATAGAATTGCTTTTCTAAATTGGTTAGAACATTTGGTTACGCTTCAGTTACACAAATTATGGCTGAAATATTTTGTACTTACAGGGTATCAATAGAATACTTACTGGGTACCCACCAGTAGGTTCAGGGGAAGAAGTACAGGGAAGCAAAGTTGTAAATAAATTAGCAGCTGGGGAGACTTACACCATAATTACTTTTTAATTAACCCAGTAATTACAGTACAGGGTTCAGACAGGGAACCAACAGATTTATCTTTGACTATGTCTTCTTACAACAACTTTGTCATGAAAATCAGTCAAACTACATGTGGCACTTTTACTGAGTGAACACATTTTTAATTAAACTTGATAAATTGTATTGTGCATTCACTGTGCACTCTTCTTTAAACTGTATCCCACTAAAGTTTATTTCTGAGTGAAAGTAAATGTCTTTGGCTCTTTAATTGTTTATGATGAGATGATATGATATGACATAAAAGTACCTTAGTCTTCCTCTCTAACATCAGCTTTGTTTGAGAGATGGATCCAACATTAGATCTCAAAACCGAATTACTTTTACCCAGCATTTTATCATGATTTTGAAATCATACACATCACTTTTGCCTAATGTTTTATTCCCTGACAATAATAATGTACACCATGTTATTAAGTCTCCTCATGAAAACCTTTTAATAATGTCATTTACAAAGTCAATTCTTTTATATATACATTCTTAAAAAATAAATGATAACACTACTAATTTCACTGCAACATCTGCACTTACCCCAACCCTGACCATCCCATTGGGCCCACCCCCTATACAAATGAACAAATCACCTACTGGATATTACTGTACTCTGTTATTATTAAGTAGGTACTAATTAATTCAATAAATACTTTTACCGTCTTGAAAGTTACCATCTTATCCATATCGTCGTCTTGTTTTTTCAGACTTATATTTGTAAGTAGTACTGGAGCACCAGTATTTTATTGGTACCACATACGTACTAAATAATTGAACAGTAATTTGGAGTTATCTAAAGTGCAACTAAACATCTATCTCTATCATACCGCTAATATGAGGACCATCCCCTTTCCAAGAGTTACAACTGTGCTGTTGAATCAGTGCGTGTAGCACCTCATCACTTCATTGGGCTCCTCCGTACATGATAGACAGAGGCTTTTTTTTCATTCAATTTGGTCTCTTGACACCAATTTTCATTGTCACGAACATTTCATAATGCCACATGATTGCATGGCGGTATCATTACACCAGCTTCAGTCGTCCGGTCTCTGTGGGTAACAGGCAGACAGATGGAGAGAGGAGATGTGTGTGTGTGATATGGCAGCTAATTTTATTTCTTGCTTTCTCAACTTCCAAATACATGCCATAATTAGTCACAAAGGAGAAACCTGTGTCTGCCTTCGGGGATGACTGGCTTATTTAATTGCATGACTAGGTGAAAGGTGAAAGATAAAATCGCATTGCCACTTCCTCAGTGATTTGGCTCCTCATTTCTTTCGTTTCCGCAGTATGAGTCCCATTATATCAACTTCAACAGCTGGGTTACTTTTGATTACCAGACAGGATACAGGAAACATTTTATCTCCTTCAATGAGGCCCTTAGGTAGTTCGACAAATGCTACATTACTCATAAGTACAAAACACCTCAGCCCATGAAAAGATGCTTTTACTGTCAAACAACAATGACAGCATACACTCCACAGTCCAGATGCACTTGGATAATACATCACTCTCTTTATTGTCAGCATGCTGAGGAGAGAAAAAAAATACTTTTTTTTTTTTTTTGCCCAAGTGCTCCTGCAGAAATCTGGGATAGTGGCTGGAAATGGAGAGCACATTTCTCTCTTTCAAATACACCAATTATATGGAAGGTGGAGTAGAGATGATCCGTCTCCCGCTGACTGGCGGCACACCGTGCATTTTTCCTGGCTCTAT